CTTGGAAGATGTTTAACAATGTTCATTTTTCTTCTTTAATTTCAAATAATTCTATAATGCCATTTTATTGCAAACCATTCACTCAAAAGCTATTATGAAAGTAACTAATCAAATTACTAAAAATTACTTAGATGGAAATCATTTGCTGAAAACTTGGTCCCCCCCAGTTCAAAAATCCTATCTGCGCCCCTGCAAACAAGGACTTGACATGTTTGAGAACACGTTTGGAGACATTCCATTCAGTGAGACAGTTAGAGCTACAGAGAAAAATGAACCAACACTCCCAGCATAGAGATTTATTATCCAACCTTACCCATCTCATCCATATCCAAGTGCAACTTTAAATTAGGCTTCATACATCACACAGTGGAAATAAGATGCAAACTTTAGCTTTTTATTTTATTTGCCTATAAAGCAAAGTCCCCTTATAGTTGTTTTTTTTTTTGTTTTATTCTAACTTAGAAATTCAAGCTATTACTGACATTGCTGAATTATTTTAACAGCTGGGAATTGAAAGTTTCAGTTTTTCATTTGCCTGTGAATGCTTCATCAAGTAAAAAAAATGTTATCATGAAATAAAGAGGTAATACTGGTCCTTAAAAAGTATGAATATTTCTGATAAATCCTTTTTGTAAATTAAAGGATACAATTGAAGGGCAACTATCTTTTAGGTAGCTACACTCTACTAAGTTAAAGAGGTATTTTAAAGATAAAAGAAATAGGAGTAGGATGTTTTTAACTTATTCAAATAACCAAAACATTCAAAATAACCAAATTTTTGTTCAATATTTCTCTAAGTGGCTGAATATTTTCCTAAACTTTTCAAACATCAATTGGTATTGAGCTGTAGGAACAAACTATCATGATAAAATGATTAATAAATAATTTAAGCAGACCTCAGTGTGTTTAGGACTGTGCATCATGCACAGGGTGTACCACAAGTATCTGTTCTGGGCCACTTTCTATTCATTATTTTTAACAGTAGTTTAAAAGAAAATGTAAAGTTACACTGTTACACTGATGACACTGTTATGTGCAATTCTAAATTCTTAATCAAACTAAGTTGTCTGTTGACGACAATGGACATATAAATGTGTAAAATACTGAACTTGTGAATCTTCACTACTTATCAAAAGTTTGTCTTCAAGTCGATTTAAGATTTACGATTGATTCTTTCTCTTTTACGCATCACATTCAACATTTGTTAAAAAAAGGAAAAAAATTCAATTATAACTATTTTTTAGATTCAAGCTATTTCTATCATTTAGGACCAAGAAGAAAACACTACACAATTTCAACTGTTTTCTATTTTCAGCTTTGTGATATTGCGCTCTTGGATGATTGAATGGTATGTGAGAGATGCGGTTCAAATTGTTATACTGTTAAACAGATAAACACAAAATAAAGTAAAGATAGAAAGTAGAGCCAAAGCCTGTTTTGTTTAATTCTCACCACCCTGCTTGTGACCTCTGAACACTTTCTCCGATTCAATCAGTAGCACAACTGAGACTAATTAAATCTGTTTTACTTGCCTCATCTGCAAAAGTAAGTGACGCATTTGCATTTTATGGAAGCAAAATAAAGTGAGCAAAGATTTGTATATAAGATCCCCATCTGTGTGCAGCAGTACGAAGAACTGATAATGTGCCAGTACCATGCATACCAGTCAAAGCTGGAAGGGATGGCAAGGGTTTATTTGAGCTATGAGTGATATCATAACAACGTCTGGCTCACAAGCTTTTACCCACCTTATTGCCATTGTTGTACATGGCCACCAGGCACAGCAGATGGTACATGTGACCACATTTGCCAAGTTTGCCCACCAGTTCTGGCTTGATGCCTTTCTGCTGCAGGACGCCTTCGTAGCCCGACGACATTACAAGCCTCTCCATGCAGATGGTACAGTCCTGGAACAGACAGCCAGAACACTTTTACAGTTAGGATGCTGAACAGACTGCATCTCTCTGAGGACACAGAACTGCTCTCTTTCTGTGACTCAGGGGAAGTTTTTTATGTCTCCTCTTACCTCGTCTGGAGCCACTTTGATCTTCTCCGTGTATCTCCGCACCACATCATCAGGGTTTTTTCCTAAATGAATGAATAAAAAAATAAAAAAATAAATT